TTACAACAGGTGATGAAAATTATAATTAAAACCAAAAAAGAAACTCTTTATGGTACCCTACACCACCCGGTACCCTACCCACCTACACCTAATTTAGTATAGCTCCGCATAACAATTAAACGTTTTAATGGGAGAATTCAACATACATTAATTATAATTATCCTTTAAAGTTCAAAGGACTATATATGCCGAAGCCTTTGTATCTTTTAAATTCGGACTTGTATTGTCCATATGGTGCACAACTAATTCTAAATCGGATAAAGATATATATGGGAGCTATATCCAAATCGGAACCGATTTCAATAGAATTTGGGAAAAACATTACTGAGCTGTATTTGATATATATCCCTGAATTACGGATATTACGGCTGTGGGTGACAAATATAACAAATCGCATGAACAGTATATATGGGAGCTATAGCTATATCTGAACCGATCTGCAACAAATTTGGCATACTATCTTCTAGACTCAATTCGGTCGTAAGTGCCAAATTCCATACCATTTAGACAAATATTAGACGTTTGGTGCACAATTAAACGTAAATCGGTCGAAGTTTTATATGGGAGATATATCCAAATCCAAATCAGATCTCGATAAAATTTAGCATACTTATTTTCATGCCTAATTTGGTTGTATGTGCAAAATTTCATACTATTCGGGCTGATATTACACGTTTGGTGCACAATAGAAAGCAAATCGGACGAAGATATATATGGGAGCTATATCTAAATTTTAACCGATTATCTCCAATTGAGCCAAACAAATGATTTGTGCAAAATTTCATCTGGATAGGACAATAAATGCGAACTGTACTGTGTTTACAAAAATACATGGACAGACGGACAGACGGCATGCATAAATCGACTCAGAATGTGATTCTATGCAGATCATCAAAAGGAACTATGGGTCTATCTCGTTTCCTTTTGCCTGTTACAAACAAATGCACAAAGACATAATACCCTGACCACCTTGTGGTGTAGGGTATAAAAATTACCACTTTATGGTAGGCATGGGAGGTCAATATAAAATTATCTAACGGTAGAGGACCTGAGTGAGGCCTCATTATAGAGCAAAAAATGTCGGAAATAGCATCGACATTTAGAATAAGTTTAGATTTGTTCGAATTGGTCAACATTGGCACGAATTACGGCCTTCAAATGGCCAATGAAACCGTCACCCGCTGCCCAAATGTTGGTCTAGGTATTTTGGCCCATTTTGTGTGCAGGCAGGTCAAGTTCGAAGATGGGCTATATCGGTCCACGATATCGTATAGCCCCATATAACGGAACATCGATATTCGGCATTTTGATGATTTTAAACACATTTTCAATGGAATTGTCTGAAGTTCTACACAAAGAGATCTTTATGGGTACTTCCTTAAAGAGAATTGTCTATATAGATCCACGATATCTTATAGCCCCATGCAACGGTACCCCCGATATTGGGTATTTAGATGATTTTAACCACATTTTTCAATGGAATTGTCTAAAATTCTACACAAGAAGTTCTTTGTATCGGCTTTAACCCCTGAAAAAGAATTGTCTATACAGGTCCATGATATCGTATATCCCCTATATAACTGTACCGGCATTCAGATAGTTTTAGTCACATTATTCAATGACATTGCCTGAAATTGTACACAAAAAGTTCTCTGTGAGAACTTTACCCCCTGAAAGGGAATTTTCTACATAGGTCCACGATATCGTATAGCCCCCATACAATGGTACCCCCCGATATTCGGTATTTTGATGATTTTAGCCACATTTTTCAATAGAATAATCTGAAAACAGGAAGTTCTCTCTGAACTCTCCCCTGGAGGAGAATTCTCTGTATAGGTCTACGTTTTAGTATACAACCATATATTTCCCGAATTTTTTCCACATTATTCACCCGAAGCGTCAAATTTGAAGTCCGTTCACGGGTCCACGGGTAGTGCAGGTCCATGTCTTAGTATAGCCCCCATGCAATGGTACTTCCCTTTATTCAGTTGATGATGTTGATGATATTAGAGACATTATTTACCGGAATTGTTTCAAATTTCGTATTTGAAGTTCAGAATCGGTATAATTTGTATATTTCGTACGTTATGATGGTTTTTGTTCTTTGAAACGTTGACCTTTTGTGTGGGAGGTACCAGAAGATATGGTCCGATCTCTTCCATACTTATAACAGAAAATACTTGTTTTAATGGAAATATTGAGATGTGCCAAGCCTGAATGGAATCGGATGTTAATTTCGTGTTTTATGAGCTTCATGAATATTCAAAAATTGTGACCCTTTGTGGGGGAGGTACCAGAAGGAGTGGACCGATGTATTCCAACGGCACACTAGTCCTTGGGTTAATAAAAATATTAATTAATTATTAATAAAATTACATCACATTTTATTATAGTTATAACTGTTAAAAATGTTGACCCTATTGTTGGAGAGGTACTGGAAGGAGTGGGCCATTTTCGCACCTGACCTAGCACCGATGCAAATATTAGGATTTGCAAAGTTGGAGCAAAATTATTTTACGGACGGACATCGCTAGATCGACTACAATGATAATTTTTTTTTTTCAAGTTTCACATTTGAATATTGTAATGGCTTATGACAAATGTTCCCTATGCTGCCGAAATCGTCAATTCGAATAGACCCCGAGAAAACGGCTACATTCGGTATTTTTAAGATTTTAACAGAATTTTCAACGGCCGAACTTACAGCTTTTTTACTCGTTTAAGCAAGGAAGTTTTTTAATGTAGTAACCCTCGCGTTTTTTCTCAGGTAGTCCCCAGCAATGTTTTTTTACAAAATCCATGATTTTTTGACAGAAATAATTAAAAAAAATTCTTTGAAAAATTCGGATTTTTTCACTTTTTTGATAAAACAAATATTTAACAAATATTTTTGAAAATATCATTAGTTTTTAGCAAAAATCTTTGAAAGTCCATGAGTTTTGTCCATAAGATCTCAAAAAATATATTTTTTAAGAGAAAACGATTTTTCTCAAAATCGAGGACTTTTCACAAAGAAAATTTAAAATTATTCTCAAATAATTTGAGATTTTTTACTTTAAAAAATATAATTTTAAAAGTCAGCGAAAACTTTTGCAAAAAAGTTTATAATTGAGGAAATCCTTTGAAAAAATCACGACTTGTGGCCAGGTACTCTTTGAAAAAGATAATTAAACAATCGTTTTGCTCCGCCGAAATAGGATAAACATGTACAGATAATCTAAACTTAGATTAAATAGGAGACCTTGTTCGCACAATAACAAATTCATGATTCTTAAAAAAAAATTAAAAGGTTTACAGCCCTTTTAATGCCGAACTTTTGGCAAAACTCCCCATTTGAATATAGTTACGCATGAATCGGTTACCAATCGGTTGTTGTTACAATACAAATGATTTTTTTTTAAATCCTTCGAAATGTGATGATTATATCGTAAGACCTGAAATTACCTGTAATTGCGAGGTAGCATTAAATGGGGATATAGCAAAAAAAATTGCAGCATTTTCCGACACTCAATGGGAGCTCCAAGTCAAATCCATTGGCAAATGTTGTGGGCCCTTTAAAATATTTGAAATTTGAAGAAACAATATTTGGTCCCATTTGGCATGGCCTAAAAACCAATCTAAATCTAATTTCATTTGGAAATGGTGTAAAAAATACTTTAAAATATCCGAATCCTGAATTATTATGTCACTTTAATCATAAAATATCAGTAAAAAAATAAATTTCAAATTTTTTTCGTCAACACCTCCTTCATTTCTAAGACCACCCCACCTTACCCATGAAATCCCTGACACCTTAAAGGTATCTTATCGCATTTCAAATCCTCTCACAAAATATTGGTGCGAAATACATTGGAGATTATGATTTTAAAAAAAGAGCCTTATCAAAGGATGAACCTAAGCATGGAGACTAGAAGTAAATCCATATCTAAACATAAAGCCCCTTCGAGGGGACTAAGCATGTACCATGAGTTCCCATGCCAGCAATATTTTATAAAGCCAGAAAAAAACTGTTAAGATCTTATAGAGATTTATATTGAATATTCGCGTGAATAAGAAAGGTGTGGGTTATATCCTTCTTGACACACACACGAGCGCGATCTTTTGCACAAGTGTTGCACACGCACTCACACACACCAATGCAAGTTGTACCTGAGCCCAATATTATTAATCTTTTACAGGACGATCAATCCAATGACTATAAAAACCGCCGTCGTTCTTCGATGCTCTTCCCCTGCTGCCTAAGTGTGAGTGAGAAAGGGAAATTGTTGCATCGCAGTGCAGAGCAAGTGCAACGAAGGAAAGTAGCCATAAAACGATCCCCGAAGAACAGGTACTTCTTCTGCTGTGTTTTGGTGGTGGGTCTTCTTTTTATTGAACCCCCTCATAAACGCTCTGTGTGTGCTCGCTCGCTTAGGCAGCAGGGCGATGGCGGCAATGGCAGTTCTTTTTGCTTTGAGTCCGTCTCAGTGATTGAAAAATGTCATGGGTTTTCCAGCCTAGCTAACGAATGAACATTGAGCTTAAGAGAAATTATAACACTTTGTAAAGAGAGAGCAAGAGAGGGAGAGATGGCTGAGAGCAGGCCGGCAAAAGAGAGGGATGAAAGAGAGCGCATTTGGAGAGAGAGAGGGAAAAGAGCACTTGACTCATTTGAGTGAAATCGTTGCCATAAGAAACAGATAAGACGACCACAACTAGTGGCTCGTGTCTATCTCATGAATCATTTACCTGCCTGCCAGCAAACAGACGACAACGAAGCAAGTACCAAAAAAATCTCTCGGTTGTCTTGTCTCTGCCCGATCTTCAGTCAGTCTTTCGCTCTCTCTCCCTCTCTTGAGTGATTGAGTGTTTACGGCATGTACGTATCTCGCCTGGCTGGCTGGCTGGTTGGCTGAAAACTTAAGTTTAGTCGTAGATATTTTCGAAATGTAGTTTTAGTTCTTGTGTGTTAACCCTTTAACTAACAACGATTCTGTGTTCATGTTTTTGTATCGTTTTAGAGTTGCAAGCGACCATGCGCGCATGGCTTCTACTCCTCGCAGTGCTGGCGACTTTTCAAACGATCGTTCAAGTTGCTAGCACCGAGGATAATCAAATATCAGTATCGTCGAGATTTATTGAAGCAATACAGCCGATTAATCATAAAAATAAGGATAAAACCGCAACAACAATAACAAAAGTGCCGTCGCCAAGACAAAATAAACAAACGACGACGGCTGTTGTAAAAAAATCAACGGTGCAAACGGCCTTAATGGATTTTCACAACAATCAACAACAAAGTATTGTTTATAAACCACATACAACAAAAAGTTTTACAAGTGATCAGTTAAGTGAAAATTATCAAACAAAAGATAGCAACAACAACAACAACAACAAAAACCTTATTATTGAAATCAAAAATATTGAAGAAATCGAAACAAACGATTTAAACGAAATCCAACAGATTCAAGTGCAAGAAAATCACAAAAACACCAACAACAACAGCAACAACAAAAAACACAAACATAAAGAAAATCTAACCGAAAGTAAGGAAGTGATGAAAATTGAAGAAGTGACAGCAGAAGTGAAGCAACATAAAAAAGTTCATAAAAATCAAAAACATAAAATCTTATCAAACAATAACAACAACAACAGCAACAACATGGCTTTAAGTGTTAATGAAGAAGACAACCAACAACAACAACAACAAAAACATATAAACCAAAAACATAATAACAACAAGCATAGAGAGGATGCCATTACAACAAAACAACAACAACAACAAGAACAAAGTTCCTCCTCCTCCAGCAGCAGTAGCCAGCAACATCAAAAGCATCATAAACACCAGCATCAGCATCATAATAATCATAATCAGCAACAAACAGAACCTGCCTCACAACAACAACACCAACATAAACAACATCATCATCACCACCACCATCATCATCAGTCCAAACAAAACAAGGACTCGGAAGAAACGAGCTCCGCCTCCCACACCTCCCCATCAGAGTCATCTAGTGATAATTTATCCTCCGCCTCACAAACATCATCATCCTCAACAACGACGACACCATCGCCACCACCCACAACACCCATGGATGTTGATGTCCTGGCCGAAGATGATGTACCCCAAGTGGATGCGGTCATACCCGATGATGGTCCACGCACCTATAGCAATAACGAGGTGATCGGTGACAAACTGAAACCGGATCCCTCAACTCTAGTCGAAATTGAAAATAGTTTATTGTCGCTATTCAATATGAAGCGGCCGCCGAAAATCGATCGTTCCAAAATCGTCATACCGGAGGCCATGAAACAGCTGTATGCCCAGATCATGGGCCATGAATTGAATTCTGTAAATATACCAAAACCCGGTTTGCTGACCAAGTCGGCGAATACAGTGCGAAGTTTTACGCATCAAGGTGAGTGTTTGAAACCTTTTTTATAATTTTTTAATTTTTAAATAGTTTGAATTTTTTTGGGTGATTTTAAGTGGGAGACATAGACATAGAGACCGTATTTTTTCTCAAATTGAAAATTTGAAAATCGCTGTACACCTAATATTGAAAATGTTATTGCTTGAAATATTCTGGTTTCAAAATTGTATTTTAAATTATAATTTTAAAAGGCATTTTAAAAATAACTGGGAATGCGTTTGCATATTTTTTTATTTTTTTGCTGATTCTGAGTAGACTGAAGTACTGAAATCTTTTTTCTTTTTTCAACTTTTTTTTGTTAAATTTGGAATTTTAGTTTTTTGGGTGATTCTAAGGCATATTTTTTTTCTTCCTTTTCTCAAATTTAAATTTTGAAACCTTTACAGACTTAATATTGAAAATGTTATTGGTTGATTTGACATCATATTCTCGTTTCAATTTTATATTTTAAAATGCTATTTTGAAAAACATTTTAGAAAAAATATTGTTTCGTGAAGAATTGTAAAATATCGAGTAGTAAGAAATATTGAAACCATTTGTGAATAATTTTTTTTATTTATTTTTGGGTGAATTTGTGTCGATTGGACCGTTTCTTTTTTAAAGCCCTTAAACGCTTAAAATTTTTTTTCTTTTTTATTTACTTTGAAAAAAGTTTTTGGTGATTGAGAGTGGATTGAAAAATTTAATATTATAGTTCAATTTTTTATTTGAAATTATAATTTTGAAAAACAGTTTAGAAATAACTGGGAATTTTTTGGCTTTAATTTGAGTTGATAGTAGTTCTGAAAGCCTTTTTTGATTTTTTTTTTTCAATTTTTATTTTTAATTTTGGAATAATATATTTTTTTGGGGATTCGATTGGACCGCAACTTTTTTTCCCTTTCTCAAATTGAAATTTTGAAAACCGTTACATGCTTAATATAGGAAATATTATTTGTTGATGAGATATATATCTTTACTGGTTTCAGTTTTGTATTTTTTAAAATATAATTCTGGAAAACATTTTAAAAGTAATTGGGAATTATTTTTTTATCTAATTTTGAGGTGACAGAAGAACACCAACTTTTTATTTTATTCCCATTTTTTTGGTTTTGGATTGATTTTAATTCGACTGGATCGCATAGTTTTTAATTCAATTTTTGAAGTCCCTTACAGGCTTTAAGGTTTTTTCCATATTTTATAAATTTTGATAATATTTTTGGAATATTAAGAGTGGAATGAAACATTTGGTATTCTATTGGAATGATAGTTACAATTTTGTATTGTTAGTATAATTTTGAGAAACATTTCAGAAATATGCATTTAATATTTTTGGCTGATTTGGAGCTGATAGAAAAACATAGACCTTTTTCGATTTTTTTTTAATTTATTTTGAAAACAATATTAGGTTTTGTGGAGTGCTCAAAATCTCTTCTAATTCAATTTTTTATTCATAATTTTGGAATCCATTTTGAGTAGTTTTAACTAAGAATCCTCTTGAGAATTTATTTCAATTTCTTATATTAATTTTGAAAACAAAATATTGGACAGTTTTGAATAGACCGAAAAACGTAGAGATCAATGTCTTGATGAAATATATTTCTGAATTTTTTTGATATAAAAACTGGGAGTAAATTTGATATTTTTTGTATTTTTTTTTTTTCAATTTTGAAAATATGTTTTGACCATTTATCCTCACGTTATTTATTATTTGAATTAAATCACTGAGAACTCTTTGATTTTATTTTGGGAGGTTTTAAGGGGATAGTAAACTACAGGGACTAATCTCTTCTAAGTTCATTTTTGACGTACAGTTTGGAAATCTATTTTGAGTGGTTTTTACCAAACAGAAAATTTGAAGACCCTGTTGGTACACATTTTAAAGAAACACTTTTTGAAAGGTTTGATTTGATGATAAAATGTTGTGGACCTATGTTGAACAATAATTTTTAAACCTTTGACTAGTGACTAGTTTTGGGTAGACATAAAAACTGGGACTCAGTCTGATTTTTTCCCTTATTTTGTCACAATTTCGAAAATATATTTCGACTATTTTTTTTTTTATTTTTACCCCTTTTTTATTTTGGGTGATTTTGATGGAAAGCTATTTGAAAGCTGTTGTGACGTGTTTTGTGTAGACATAAAAACTGGGACTCAGTTTTTAGTAGTTTTTTCGATTTTGAGAGGGTATTAAAAGAGAGTGACCATTTTCTTTTTAAACTAAAGCGGTTCTTTAAATTTAAATTCTGTTTTTGCTTTATTAAAATAAATATTTTTGGGTGATATTGAATGGATATTTCATCTAATTACATTTGGATACCCTTTCTACCCGCCGGGCTGAGTCGCTTTAGCTATGTGTGTCCGTCCGTCCGTCTGCTCATGTTAATTTGTAATAATTTGTAATAAAAATAGAAGTCTATTTTGGGGGAGATGATCCCAAAATATTTAGGGGTTCAAATAGACCAAAACAGAGACATTTTTGGTTTCGCAGTTCCTCTACTCGCAGTGGCTCTAGAGCTCAGAATTATAAACAGATCGACTCAGAATTTAGTTTGGAGCTAGATTTAGGGCTGAGAAGGAGCCTACCAATGTGGACAGTCACCGAATATAATTTAGCGGGTGAAATAGATCATAACTTTAATATTAAAAAAATAGGAAAATTTCCACATATCGGAATCGAATATTTTTTTCCTATGCGAAATTACAAATACCTGATGCTGATACTCAAGATATCGTATATAAATAGCAAAATATATCATAAATCAAAGGAGGGGATGTTAGATGGATGCTTGTAACTCAAGAACGGCTGGAGCAATTTTGAAAATTCTCTCCAATTCAGAATTGGCAAAATAGAATAATTTCTCGAAAAATTCATAAAAATATGCTAATATTTTTGCAGGACTGCGTGACATTATTCCAAAAACGAAATCGACCAAAATGGATATGGACCTAAGGGAGCTTTCCAATATATTATAGTGTTGTAGGATATCACCGTAGTCTAATGAATATATTGAGAACGAAAAGTTAGTTTTGCGTCTTTAAGCAGATGGCTCTCAGTACGTCGACATGCTGATTGATCCAGTCGACCTTTTTCGACTTCGAAAACACATTTCATCGTTTTCAAGAACTTCACTTGAAAATTCCCGTATTTTTTCGCATCATTTTGTAGTACGTAACTACATCTTTTAATGGAATAGTTTTCATCTGTCAAATATCCTTCAGTTGTTGATATTTTTATATTGTAGAATTGAATGACTTCAATATTTTCACTTATATTCCTGAAACGATGTAGACGACATCTGTTAATCCGAATTTTTTCGATGAAATGCGGAGAGAGCTTTCCTTCGTCTAAATATCATTGGTCTGTGGTATCACATACTCGGCCAGCCCGGCTATATTCGTTGCTTACTTGGTTTACCATAATTATGAAATTCTTTTTGGGAACATTTCAATCTTCCAAATGCAACCAAAAGAAAATTTGGTTTAAATAATTTCTATGTTAGGAAATAAAATATTTTTGTATATTCAATTTGAAATTTAAAAAAGACGTGAAGGAAATAACATTTCAAAAAAGTCAAAGCTAATATTTGAATTTTTAAAATCGTTCCAAAATTCTGAAAGCAAAATATGCATTAAAATATTTTTGTAACTTTCCACAAAAAAAAAAATTGCCGCATGTATCGAAAAATTACTCTCAGAATATAAAGTTAACTCTATAAAAATTTTAAATAATTGAAATATTTTATAAAGAAATCAAGACGATTTTTTTTTTGCTGAAAAAATTTCAAATATTTTTTTCCCCGCCGTAAACATTTCATAATATTTATTCGTTTGGAATTTTGTTTGTTTTCTTATAACATTTGTCGTCTTAACATTTATTTAGCTTAGTAACCGAACGCTTACTTTGTAAAACACAACACAAAATTCCCACAAAAAATTGTTTCGAGTGTTTGTATGTATGGCCAGCATTAGACATATACACATACTACATATGTATCTCTCAATTAATGAGTTGTACGTGATGTTAATTTTTAATTAATTAATGACCAGCCATGTTGGCTCCCAACGGGCCAGAGCACAACTTTGTTTATTATTAATGCGGTTTTGTGTTGTTGTTTTTCACATTTTCTGTTGAGCGTTCCTGACCATAACCACCACGAAGTATTTAAATTAATTCATATTTTTAATTTTTCCTTATGTTATATATTTTATTACAAGAAATATATTTCATTGGAGATGGGGAATGGGGTTTTTGAAATGGGGTTAGTGGGGAAGAGCAAGGAATGTAAATTAGAAATAATTTAATTCAAATATTCAAGTGAAATTGAAAATCTATTCTATAGCCGAAATTAGTTTTCTCACTATTTTTATATAGGAATTGTCTGTGTACAAAGAAAGACATGACATTGAAAAAGTTTTAGATTTTTGGAATAAGTCAGACTTTAGAAATGAGACAGACAAAGCTGCAGCTTATTGTAAAACCGTAAATCCAGATCATTTACAAATAATGGAATTTGGTTAATTTTTTTAATTCTTAATTTTAATAATTTTTCTTATTAAATTCATAGTTCATTTTTATTTCACTTTTCCGTCGGGGTTTGAAAATTAAATATTTTTGGAGTCTTTTAAAGTAAACCTTTTAACCGTCGGCATAATAAAATATTTTTTTTTTTGGTAATTCTGAAATATGCAAATGGCGCCCAATACAAAGATATTGTTTTAACTAATAGAAAAATGGTAAAAATATTTTTCTTCAATACATTATCTGATGCTGATGATGAAAGCAGACCTTTCTGCAGCCAAAACCTCTGTCTTTTCGACAAGGTGAAATAAAGATAATGGTAGCGTAGAGCAAATATTTCAATGGTGTTAGCCTCGTTTTGCAGATACATCAACTATCCCTCGGATAAAATGACCCACATTTAACTCAGAAGTTTTTAATATTTTTAACCGGTAAAGGTATTTTCAACTAAATCAGATATTTTGGCATTTTATACTCACTTCTCCCCTTGTCCGAAGAATGTAAGAAATATTTTATATGAGGGATGTGCCCCCAGCCAAAATTTACTTAGGGGCCCAAGTCGTACTTCATTAATTTTTTAATGTCTCTCTCCCTTAGACCAAAGGAAATAACATATATTGTTTTAAAATTGATCATTTGAATGCGATGCATATATGTCCAGGAAGAATGGAAGAAAGTTCCTTTTTTATATATTTTTTTAATGTACTGATATGTGGCTCCGTTATTTTCACTTATTGTGAAATGTTAAATATGAAAAGAATGTTATTTCAGATCCAATAATAGTTAATATATTCTGGAATTTTTTTACAATGGGGACTTAGAAGAGTATTGATTTTTTTTTTTTTGATATTTCATCAAAGGACTAAATGATGTAAAATGTCAAAACGGCGCCCAATGTGAGATAAATAATAATAATTTGAGTTTTTGTATTATTTTTTTTTTTATCTAAATGATCTGAAATGTCGAATTGGCGCCCAATGGCGACTTAGAAAAATATTGATTTCTTTTTAAATATTTCATCAAAGGACTAAATGATGCGAAATGTCAAAATGGCGCCCAATGTGAGATTAATAACAGTAATATAATTTTTTTGTATTATTTTTTTCAAGCGTGCAAATGATCTGGAATGTCAAAATTGGCTCCCAATTTTAAATAGATTTTATTTATTCATTTTAATTAGTTTTACATAAAAAGTGGCGCTTACAAAATCCTGAGAAAAAATGAATATATTTTTTTAATTCTTTATATAAGTTCCATTTTTATGTATATTTTGAAAATGGCGCCCAACGTGTCTTTTCGAAAATATTTAATATTTTCCGTTATTTGTGTCTCAACAATTCTCGTAAGAAAAATTAATATATTCCAATTTTTTTAAAATTTTTAATTCTGCATTACAATTTGAAAATGGAGCCCAATGTCAGTTTTTTCAGCAAGTATGTCACAATGTCCAGACATCTATATTGTATACCTCATCAATTCACACAGTGGAAAGACTATTTTCTATTTTCTTTCTTCGAAATTTTTTTTAACCACTTCTTATTCGTCCCTTCAATTTACAAATGGCGCCCAACGATAAATTATAAAACTTAAATTTGCTAATGTTTAAATGTATTTTCAAAGTTGATTTTTTTACATTTCCGTTTTCTGATTATGGCGCCCAACATTTCCCTTTCCCTTAAACATACAATAATGATAACTTCGAAACTCATATTCGAACTTTTTTTTTTGAAAACCCGGTCTTCATTTCACCCCAAACAAATTTTAATTTGCGCCTAACGTTATTTTTTGTGAAAATATTTTTATTTTACTTTAGTTCACTAATGCCTAAAATATGTTTAAAATATTGCAATATTTGATAATGGCGCCCAACGTGAAATTTCTGTGTTTTCAGTATTCATATTCAATTATTTTGGTGCCTGTAATGATTACTTCCAATCAAAAAATTGTTAATATATAATTTCAAAAATTATTACATTTCCATTTTCCTCAAAAAAAAAAAAAAATCATACTGTTAATGGCGCCCAACGTGTAATTGATGTATTTTCAGCAATACACAATTGCTTTTAATGCTTACTTCTCATAAAACAAATGTTGTAAATATTTTTTTTAAGAATAGAGTGGAGTCCAACGTGAAATATGGTTTTTTTTATTTTTTTTTTTTTTCAAAAATATCAGATAATTTCCAAATTAATATTTTAATCTACTTACTCGGAATTATGATTAATTCTTGTTTTGTGATTGATATTGATATATTGAGGAACATTCGCATAGAATAGGCGCTCAATGAACTATTCTAGCTTTTGGAAGATTCTTTTGGTATAAATTATTGTTACAGTTAAACTTCTCATTTTTATACTTTATATAAATTATGGTATGCCTTACATTTCTCATTTCTAAAAAAAATTATCGTTGAATTTCTTAATTTTGGATATTCCTAATTCTTTAATCAAATTAAAACTATTGTGGCGCCCAACGTTTTTTAATTTATTATTTTTTTTTTTCATTTATATTTATATATATACATCTAATTAGTATATCCTCTCGTAAATTGAATTATCAAGTTAAGTTATTGATTTCATATTATGCAATATTCAAATGGCGCCCAACGTAATTTTCTCAACTTCATAGCAAATTGAATTGTTATTTTCTCCTCCTAGGTTTTTGGCTATTTTCAAGTTTCAACAACATTATTAAATATATATTTGAGAGATTTTGAGTTGCTATATTCCAATTCCATTCAAGTTGGCGCCCAACGTAAACGTGTTGTAGTTTTTTTTTTTTTTTTTGTTTTTTTGATAATAAATAATATAAGGTTATCTTACAGCATTTTTGTTCTAAGCTAAAAAAGTATAAAAAATATCGCCCCAATTTGTGGGGAGGTGGTAATTTATTTGGCATTTCTAGAATTTCGAGATTCTTCCAGATTTTTGATATTAGCCTTTCAAATCAATGAAAAGTAAAAAAGTCAGGTCTTTCCGTATTTTTTTCAGTTTTTTGATATAAGTCTTTCAAATCAGTGAAAATTAAATATCAGATCTTTCCCCTGGATTATTTTGAAATAATAAAAATTAAATAACATTCGGATTCGGATGATTATTTGGGATATCCTTGAGTTTCCCAATTAATTTTAATTAATTATTTTTTTTCTTTTTTTTCGTTATTATTTTTGATTGCAAGTTTGACAAGAGCATTTTCACATGAAAAGTACTTGACTGCCACACATGGAATTTTTTGTTATAATCTTCAATTCACTTAATAAAATTTGCCAAAATTTCCCACTGTTTTCTGCACTTGTTACACTTCATTAAGGACATGTGCAAATTTCCCACCATTTCCACACATTTGCATATGCAAAAATGCACTCTCGCACACACATACACACACTGACAGCAAAAACTCATTAACAACAATACATGTGGGATTTCCAATGCTTTTCACAATCGAACAACAACAACTACAACAACACTTCAAGTACCATCATAAAACTAACAACAGCAACGCTAGTAGCAAATACAAAATTCGGGGGATTTTAATTTTACAACAGGTCGTCCTCCTCAAACAGATGCGGCTACCTAAGCGCTGACGTTATCCCTGCAATGACCTTGAAAAAAATTATTTACAACTCTATTTATTGTTGGTTTTACATAATTCACAGGAATTTCGGTACGGAATAACAACAAAAACGACATAAGTGTTTCCATATATGTTTGTATGCATGTGTGTGTGTGTTTATATCGAAATATGTGAGCGAGAACACACGTGATGTGAGTGAAGAAGTGTCGGATGAAAATATGAAATTATGAAATGATATGTGAAATGATTTTTGGGAAATTTTCCGTACCTGTTGAACGGCAAACTAAATCTTCCAAGAGATTTATTCGTTTCATCATCTTTTGGACCGTTGAGCTGTGGCTCGCAGTAGCTCTGCTCCGGAAAGGTGTGGAAACATAAACAAATTTTCAACTTAAATAAGAAAGGAAAAAAAGGTGAAAAAAATAACACAAGCCAGCCAGTCCGGGTGAAAATCACAGTTCTTTAGAGATTTATTGCCTCCCATAAACAAAGTTTTAAAATATTCTAAAAACAAGGTTTACACGTTGGGCGCCAGTTATAAAAATGTTTCCAAAATTAAACAAAACAATGGTGTTGAATCAAAGTTAAAGGTGTGTCGTATACTTTCCGTTTGGCAGACTAACGCTCAACACCAAACGCCAGGGTTTTGTGAGCATGGAATGCCCTAAGCGGATTAGCCTTGGTGGCGCTAGCTTTGTTTTCCATTCTTTTCCTTTGTGTTTCGTTTTTCGGGAAAATGTTTGAACCCATCCCGCTCCATGGCTGGCTAATCAATCCTACTTAAAATCACCCACCCTAATCTATATCTTTTTAAACCTCTCAAATTGATCTGCTTTTTCACTAATAACATCCGTTTGTTCTCTTTTTTTTTCTTTCTCTCTTTGCAGATAGTAAAATCGACGATCGGTTTCCTCACCATCATCGGTTTCGTTTACATTTCGACGTGCGCAGCATACCCGCCGAGGAGAAACTGAAGGCTGCCGAACTGCAGCTGACACGTGAGGCCATCAGTCATGCCACCCTCAATCCCCGCCTGGCCAATCGCACCCGCTACCAAGTGCTGGTCTATGACATAACACGAGTGGGTGTACGCGGCAAGCGGGAGCCCAGCTATCTGCTGTTGGACAACAAGACCATACGGCTGAATAGCACAGAGACGGTGAGTTTGGATGTCCAACCTGCTGTGGATCGGTGGCTGGCTTCACCGAAGAAGAATTTCGGTCTATTGGTGGAGGTGCGGACGTCACGCTCCCTGAAACCGGCACCGCATCATCATGTACGCTTGCGCCGCAGTGCGGACGAGGAACATGACGCGTGGCAGCGCAAACAGCCCCTGCTCTTTACCTACACCGACGATGGACGGCACAAATCGCGTTCCATACGCGATGTCAGCAATCGTTCAAAGCGAGCTGGCCACAATCGTCGATCGCATCGGCGAAAGAATAACGAGGAGATCTGTCGACGCCATTCGCTCTATGTGGACTTTACGGATGTCGGGTGGAGTGATTGGATTGTGGCGCCGCCAGGCTATGATGCCTTCTATTGTCATGGCAAGTGTCCATTTCCGCTAGCGGAACATTTGAATTCGACAAATCATGCAGTGGTCCAGAATATGGTGAACAGCATTAATCCGGGGAAGGTACCAAAGGCATGCTGTGTGCCAACACAGTTGGAGGGCATATCGATGCTCTATTTGAATGATCAGCGTACGGTTGTGCTCAAGAATTATCAGGATATGACAGTGGTGGGTTGTGGTTGTCGGTAAGATGAGGTTCGAGAGAGGAGAGAAGGACAACAACCACACAAAATAACTGAGAAAAAAAAACGTGAGAAAAAGGGGGAGGCGAGAGGGCATACTTTTAGGGAGAGGGAGAGAGAAAAAGAGAGAGTGAGTTGGTGTAAAAATGCTTGGGCGCCAAATTGGTTTGGGAGATGAAAATGACTTATATTTTCATAACTCCCCTGCCAAAGAAGAGTTATCCTTGGCCCTTATTTTTTCCACACCTTTGCACCAATGGAATACCCCCCTTTCCCCTTGGAATTTTTGTTCTTCTTTTGCCTCCCTTTTTGGCAACATATCGTGATATTTTCCTGCAGCCAGCTTTTTGGTTAAAGCTTAAAGCTGCATGCAACCACAACAACAACAACGAAAAAGCAAGCAATAGAGCATCATTTGCTAGAATTGTAAAAGAAATTTGAGAGAGACAGAGAGAGAAAGAAACGCCCGCCCTTTGCTTGGCTGGCGATCTTAGCTTTGTCTTGGCTAAGTCTAGACTTTCTCTGGATCTGTATTTTTTTTTTTTGGTCGTTCTTTCTTTGCTTTTTAACGCTTTAATAAGTTTAAAGATTTTGTTTTTGGTAAATCAAGAAAAAAATATTATTATATATTAAAACAAAACAAACGCAATCTAAATGGACTGAATTATTGAATTTTATTTCTTAAATAAGTGTAAATATTAAATATTAAAAAAAATAAATAAATAAAAAAAAACCGAAATGCTAGGGTTGACAACGAGGTGATATATAGATGTGAGGTGTATAAATGCAAAAATATCAATTCCCCTACAGGTCATAAGTAGTCACTAAATGAGGAACTTTTCTTAAATAAAAAATAAATTAAAAAACACAAGCCGAACTAAAAACGAACAAATTACATCCCCCCTCCCACACACTTGACAGCTAGGCTGTCCGAATAATATTTTCTTTTGTATATTCTTAAGCTTCAATTTCTTTAAAAACAACAACAACAACAATATTCTCACTGTGCCATCCTATTCAATATTCATCAATCCCACATAAAAAAAAAACTTTCCATTTCATATTTTCTCCAAAAAAAATCAAAAATATTTTTTCCTAAAAATATACTCGAAAAAAATTCAAACAAAATTGTGTATAGAACCTAACCTAAAAATAAACGAAACCATGTAAATTTAAAAAAAAAAGAAAGAGATTATTCCATAAAAAAATCTAATTAAAAAATTGTATTTTGTTAAAAAAATAAATAATTAAAAAAATAAAACGGAATAAGTTTTAGTCTAGCGAATATCCATATCCTTACATTTAAGGATTATTATTATTATGATTATTATTACTTTAATTATTATTATTATTTTTATTTTCTATTATTAATAATATTATTATTAAATAAATAATTAATGTAATGTATTTTATTCTATTTTATATATACATAAAAACAACAACAACCAACCAACAAAACAATGTATTGTAATATGTATGTGTATCTCTTTGGCTTAATTTAAAAAAATATATATATATAAACAAAGAAAACAAAAACTTAATGTTAAACAAAAAAAAAAACAACAACAACAATCGATTTTAAGTTTAATTATTAACGAAATTTCAAATTTTTATTACATAGTCAGAGCTATCCCCTTTCCCCACCAATTGTAAATTACTCCTACCCTACTCTACTTTCCAACTTTTTCTTTTCTGTATTCCAAAAAAAAGTATATTTTTTGTAATTTTTTTTTTGTGTGTTTTTTCATCCTCTTCTTGTGTATAATTTTCTATACATTTATTATTAATGTCCTTCTCTTTAAAAAAACATACTTTTTTTTTCTTAAATTCTTTTAAGTGTCCCATATTTTATGTTTATTATTACTGCTCTAATTCGATGTATAATTTTTATTTTTTGCTATTATTATTTATTTATAAAAATTATTTTTTATAATTTTAATTGTAAACGATGTGCCGAGAAAAAGTTTAATTTTTAACTGATTGAGAATGAGATGATGAAAAAAATGAATGAAATGAAATGAAAACCCATTTGAAAAAGCAAAAAAACAATAAAAAAGAAAAAATATTTTATATAAAAAAATAAATTCTTTGTGCCTTATTTTATTTGTAATATGGAGAACTCTAGGTTAAGGGGTACAAGAGGTACTGGTATGACCGAGGGACACATTAAAATCGAATAGGATATTCGGACTTGAAAGCCGAAGTCGGTTTTTTTTTTTTTGCTATTTGAGAGGCTTACTTTTCTTTACATTTTTGCCAAAAATTATGCAATATTTCATCTACAAATAAATAGGTACGGGTGCTAGAGAGACCACTAGAGAGTAAAACAATTGAAAGAACATGGAAGGGCAAGTCTCTGCCAAACCTGGTACAGGGTATAAAAATTAAAATAAATTTAGTTATATGACTTGCAAATAAGTCGAGCTGCGCCAACTTCGTAAAGTAAAACAAATATACGTGCCTGTGTAAGCCAATACTGCCAGGGTTGCCAAAAATTAATACCTAACAAGTTAAAAACTATCAGTCGGTTTAGCTGACAGATGCATACCCTCAGCCAATGTTCGATTATTTAAATATATTTTGACTTCGGTTATGATTATACAAATTGTTGACCCTCAATGGAGAAGGTTCCAAAGGAATGGGCCAATATTGTCCATTTCGTATCGGTCGTAAATAAATAGGATATGAACAATTTTAGAAAATGTTAAAATGTACGTGATGTACCATCGTTATAACAAATCTTGCGTTGATAGAAATATTAAGATGAACCAAGTGTGACTGGAATCGGATGTTAATTTCACCTTTTATGAGTTCATGGATATTGAAAATTTTGGCCGTTTGTGGAGAAGGAACCAGAAGGAGTGGTCCGATATATCCCATATTCACAGCAGAACTTGTGTTAGTAGAAATAATAGGATGTGTGAAATATGAAGAGAACCGGATGCTTATTTTGGATTTTATAATCGTTTTCGTTATACACAACTTTAACCTTTTGTGGGGGAGGTACCAGAAGGAATGGTCTAATCTTTACCATCTTTATAAAAGATCTGGTGTTAATTTCGCAATTTTATAAGGTTCATGGATATTCAAAACTTTGATCCTTTGTGGGAGAGAGACTAAAGGAGTGCACCGATATATCCGATCTTCACACTAGACTTTGGGTTAAAAAATTTTGTTATGTGGGTAATTTTAAAAGAGTTATAATTATTCAAAATTTTTACACTTTGTGTGAGAGGTACATGTTGAAGTGGCCCGATCGAGATTGTCCATTTTCGCACCTGACCTAGAACTGATACAAATATTAGGATTTGCAAAGTTGGAACAAAATTGATTAGTCCTTTCTCTTTCTGTGTAAAAAATGTTTTTTTAAAATGTCGACCTTTTGTGGGGTAGGTACCAGAAGGAGTGGACCGATATTGCCTATCTCCGCATTCGATCTAAGTTTGACAATAATATTACGATGCATTAAGTTTGGACCGAATCGAATAATCCCTTCAAGAGTTATCGTGTGCACCAGCCAGACAGGGAGACGAGCGGACAGACGGATATCGCTAAATCGACTCCAAATGCCCTGAAACGGATTTGGTTCAAAGAGAAACGTAGGGTCTAAAACCGCTATTTCGATGAGGCACGTTTTGGCCATAAAAATGATATATACCATCTCTAGCCATATGATTGAGGGTATAAAAATCTAAAATTGAAGTCGTCTGAAGACGACTTTGGTCAGTCCGGGCCCTTGAGCCTTGAGCTCACAACACAAAAACCTAAAAAGTATACCTGGCAACACCATGAAATATTCCAGTTTAAATCTTGCACCACAAAGTATGCTATGGATTTTTATCTTCATGCAAGCCGATTGTTTTTTCCAACAAATACCAATATTTGGACCATTTTTTAAGAAAAGTCCAAGAGTCTACAAATAAACTTGGAATATCATTTTAATAGAATGTATGTAAGGAATGGTTTTTACTTATTTAGCAAAAAAATACATACCACTGAATTTAATTGTAATCCTAATGAGTCGGAATTTAAAACTTTTATTGTCTACATACATACTTTGTTATTTTTTATTTATATTTATATATAGTTTTACCAAACCTTCGTTGGTAAAACAACGTGGTAATACCTCAAATCTAACATCTAATTCTGAAATCAAGCTCTATTGCAGGACTCCAGGTATTTTCTCCAACACCATTATGCATAAGCCTAAAAATATGCTTCAGAGTAAATCATTTTGTTGGGCGTTACAAGTCTTTATTAAAACATTATTTTTTTACAGGGAAGCAACTGCTACTATCACATTCTGGGCGCCTGGTATGGTATCAAGTGAGATATACAAACCAGTAAAGAAAGTCTTAAAGTTGGGCGGGTCCGACTTTATGATACCCTACACCACTTTGCTAATTTAGTAGAGCTCCGCATAACAAATAAAATATTTCTTGGGAGAATTTAATCATACACGCTATGATAATAATTCTAATTGAAATTTCAAAGGACTAAATTGCCGAAGCACTTGTATCTTTAAAATTCGGACTTGTACTGCCCATTTGGTGCAAAATTAATTTGAAATCGGATAAAGATATATATGGGAGCTATATCCAAATCGGAACAGATCTCGATAAAATTTGGCATCGTTGTTACCCTGAATATCGTTGTTACGGAATGCATATTACGGCTGTGAGTAACAAATATAACAAATCGGATGAACAATATATATGGGAGCTATAGCTATATTTAAACCGATCTTCACCAAATTTGACATACTAGTTTCTAGACTTAATTCGGTCGTAATTGCCAAATTACATCCCATTTGGACAAATATTAGACGTTTTGTGCACAATAAAAGGTAAATCGGACGAAGTTATATATGGGAGCTATATCCAAATCTGAACCGATCTCGATAAAATTTAGCAAATGTACTGCTGAGCTGTATTTGATATATTTCCCCAAATATTGTTATTACAGAGTGCATATTACGGCTGCGGAGGACAAAAATAAAAAATCGGATGAATAATATATATGGGAGCTATAGCTATATCTGCACCGATTTCGATCAGATTTGGCGCAGTTATTTCCAAGCCTAATTTGGTTTTATGTGCAAAATTCCATACTATTCGGACTGATATTACACGTTTGGCAAATCGGACGAAGATATATATGGGAGCTATATCTAAATTTTGACCGATTATCTCCAATTTCAATAGGGTTCGTCCTTGGGCCAAACCAATGATTTGTGCAAAATTTCATCTCAATCGAATGATAAATGCGAACTGTACTTTGTTTACAAAAATACATGGACAGACAGGCGGATGGACGGACACACATAAATCGATTCAGAATCTGATTCTATGCAGATCATCAAAAGGAACTATGGTTCTATCTCGTTTCCTTTTGATTGTTGCAAACAAATGCGCAAAGACATAATAAAAATGAAAAAAAAAAAAAATAACTTCAGTCAAAATGTAATTTCTAATATTTTAGGATAGAGCCATAAGAGATTATGACTACTAGAAACATATTTACTTGATTTGAATAATATTTACTACTATTACACGTTTTTTTTTTTTTGTATACTTCAATCAATAAAGGGTATGAACCAAAATTTGGGAAAAAATCCAAAATGCATTTTCTTGTAATTTCTGAGAAATGGCTGGGCTATGTTTTTGAGGACATTATATGAAGTATTTCTGGACCAAGATCTGGGATGAGTTCTTAAGAATGCTAGGACCTCGTTTTTTTTTAACAATAATGCATTGTCCATGTTTTGAAGGATATTTTGAAACATATCCAGACCATATTTCATACCATAGAATTACACTAAATGTATGGTCCAAATAATGTGTAGCCACATTTTTAGGTAAATTTCCAAGAGTTCTAAACGACAATTTCGGTACATATTTATTTAAAAGAATGTCTGCAACACGTAATTAGTTATATTCCGAATAAGGTTTGAGTCAAGTTCTGTGCCAACTTTAGAAAAAGATGATGAATATGTTTCAAAGAATCTTTGGATCCTTCTATAGGGTATATTCCGAAAAGCTTTGGTGCCATATTTTCGGTTATATTTCGAAGAATTTCCGAACATCTCCAAAAATATTCGTATCACGTTAAGGGGCTTATTTCAAAGATTTTCTATTAAAGATTTGGGTTGAATTTCTGTATAATTTGTAAATACCGAAAATTGAAACATTCCCGGTGAATAATGTCGCTTAAATCGCCAAAATTCCGAAAATAGGAAGGTACCATTGTATGGGGGCTACACCAAAGCGTACATGACCCATTTTCAACAGCAAAAGTCCTACAGACATAATATACATTTGAGTAAAATTTTATCAACCTACTACAATTCGTTCGGATGATGAGGATGATGATTTTCACAGACTGGCAGACGGACAGACAGACGACGTCGCTAAATGGAGATGAATATATATACATTGTGGGGTCTAAAATGTATATTGTGTTATTGAGGTGTTACAAACGGAATGACAAACGTATACTATGGTGGTAGGTATAAAAAGAAAAAAGGCTTATTCAGGTTCAAACCGTCGTATAGTCGCTATATAACGATACCTCCCAATATTCGTCATTTTTATGGTATTAGAGACATTATAGACCGAAATTGTTTTAAATTTCGTATTTGAAGTTCCTAAGGGGTACTACAGTCTACGACAAAATATTGCCTGTGCGGGTCCACGCCTTCGTATAGCCTCACCATATAATGGTACCTCTCCATTTTCGGTATTTTGATGATTTTTGTGACTTTTTTTCACCAGAATTGTTTCAAATTTCGTATTTGATGTTCGTAATGGATACTTCAACCTATGACAGAAAATTGTATATGCAGGTCCACGTCTTCGTATACCTCACATATTACGGTATCTCCCTTTATTCGATATTTTGATGATATTAGGGACAATATTTAACGGTATTATTTTCAATTTTGGATTTGGAGGTCGGCATGACTTTATATAGCCCCCATATAGCGGGTTTCATTTCAACGGGTTTTTTTCGACGACATTTTTTAAAGTTTTCCACTTTTTTAGAAAATTTGTAGGGTCTTAAAATTTTGGACCGGCCTAATCTA